TTAGATGTTATTATTTTGAAGGTATTTTTTTTAGATGTGATTACCATTTACAATCAGTTGACTTTAGGTAGAGGAGATTATTCTCCATAATGTGGGTGGGCCTCATCTAATTTGTTGAAGGCCTTAAGAGCAAATACTTAGTTTCTCTGGCAAAGAAGGATTGCACCTCAAGATTGCAGCATAGAACTCTGAATTTCCAGCCTTCTGGCCTGCCCTGCAAATTTCAGACTCAATACTGCAACAGCAACTCTGATTAAATTTTCAGCCTGCATTGCTGGAGAACTTTGACTAATACATGTGATCTGATACAATCTGATTACTTTTATGATTTGTTTGTAAGGCTATAGTGTTATTCATAATTTTATATGTTACCATTTATATTCAGGCTCATTGCACTCTACTCTTAGTTTAAAATTATTGATCACACTAAGTACTTCTATGCTTCTGGATCTGTGCTGTTCTCCTTCCTGCAGCTTACAACCAATGATCTCCTCCTTGTCCTGGTAAACTCATATTCATCTCGAAGTATCCAGTTCAAACCATCCATCTTCTGAGAGCATTCGTAGTTTAGTAAATGAAAACATCATATTTTATTCACTGGTTCATTTTATTCATTTAATAGATGTTTATTGAGCATCCACTGTGTTCCATGCTCTCAGAATTGAGCAACGGACAAGGAGGATCGGATCTCTTCTCTTTGAATGAAGTGGTCAGATATCTCTATTTACTTAGGATACTCTGATTTATGCCTGTTGTTTTGGGGTCATTATTAATAGTGCCTCCTTTCAGTCTCAAAGGTTTTGATGATAAATTATGTGATCATCCTAATTATCAAACATACAGTGCAGTGAGGAAGATAAACATTAAATAGAGGTTATGGGTTGAATTATGTCCTGCCTTCTAAAATACATGCTTAAGTCCTAATCCCCAGAACATGTAACTGTGACCCCCATATTTGGAAATGGAGTATTTTCAGATGTAATTAAGTTGAGATGAGATAATACTGGTTAGAGTGGGCCTAATATAATGACTGGTGTACTTATAAATAAGAAATTTGGACACAGAAACACACCAGAGAACAACATGTGACAGTGGGGGTGGGGGGGATTGGAATGACCTGTTTATAAGCTAAGGAATGCCAAGGATTGCCAGCAACCATCAGAAGCCAGGAGGAAGCAAGGAGAGATCCTCACCTAGAACCTTCAGAGACAGCATGGCCCTGCTGACACCATGATTTCAGACTGATTTCCTCCAGAATTGTGAGAAAATATATTTTGTTTGTTTTATGCTACCTAGTTTGTAGTACTTTTTTACAGAATTCTGTGAAAAGTAATAGGCAATTAAGAAAACTACAGAGTTGCATAAAGTAAAATATAGTGTACCGTGGGCAATATGATGGCAGTATACAAGGCCATGTGGATTTAGGGTGATAGGACGTTATCAGTAGGAAAATGACATTTAAGTAAGCTTTAAAGGGCGAGTTCAAGAATGTTTCAGGGAGACCATAGCATGTTCAATGATCCTGAAAAAGACATAGCTTGGTGCTCTAGAAAGGATTAAAAGGAGATCAATACAGTTAGAATTTAAGAACAAAAAATGACAGTAGCATATTATGAGGCTGCATAGATAAACAGGGTTCTGGTTGTAGAGACCCTTAAAAATATAAAGATTTTGGGCTTTATCCTAAAGTTTGTGGAAAGTCACTGGAGAATTTTGAGAATGGAGGTGGAAGTGATATGATCAATTTGTGTGAGTTTGGGATAAAGAAGTGGCAGTGGGAATGGAGGCAAACAGATATCTGCAATGTTTAGGATGCACAGGCACAAACTTTGTTAGGTGGGAAATGAGAGAGAGAAGAATGAAAGATGAGTCCCCAGTTTCTGGTTTAGACGACTGTGCAGGGTGTCTTTTGCTGAGATGAAGAAAACTGGAAGAGAAATTTGAGGGAAGAGGAATGCCAGTTTCCATTTAGGTTTCTGTTATTCTTGAAGTGTATGTGAAAACTCCTAAAGAACTTACCAGTAGTATTGTAAAGAAAATAAAGACTGCAGGCTCAAAATTTAATCGAAGTATCCTTTGTTTACTCCTAATCTACAATTGGTAGAATTAGGGGAAGCACACATACTATAAACATATTGGCCTGATTTTCTACTCTTTCTTGGGACCTTGAAGTTACAAACGTTCTTTGATGCATTCTCATGTAGAGTTAGGCAACTTTAACAGGTGCCTAGGGGATCTCTTTAGGAGAATGTTCTTTCTTTGTGGCCAGGAGTCTTTTCCTCATAAAATTGGCTTTTCTCTCTCTCTCTCTCTCGCTCTCTTTCTAATTGTGGTCGAGGATTCCTTATGCCGTGGAGGAGAGTGTTATACTGCAGGGTAAGGGGAACTGCAGGGGAGGGGTGCAGTGGGGATTATGTTACACTGGGACAAAAGGGAGCTTTGCACATAGATGTTAAGTGAGACGGAACTGCAAATAGGATTATCTTGTGACACAGAAGTATATTTTACCAAATGAATACAATAAAGTATTACAGGTGGTGGGATTGAAGAATGTATATGGTGAGATATACAAGTCATCATAGTTAGGGCTGGTTAGAGAAGATAGCTCTGTAGGTGGATATGAAAGATATTTAAGTGTTTGCTACGTGAGACTATAGGGATTGTAGGGCTAGGAGCATGCTGAAGAAAGACACAGGGTCTTGAAATAGCTTGGGTTCTTATCAAGATGCTTTGGTTTTAAACAACAGAAAACTCAACTCATTTAGCCAGAATAGAAAATGCATTGTCTCAACCATTTTAAAAGATGTATACTATTGCTTCCTATGGGTATCTGCAAATGTAACCAATTCCATGTTTCTAGAATTTTAGATTGTTTTCAGTGTTTCTTCTTTATGAATGTCTAAAAATCACACCCTTGAGTGTTAGTCTTTGCTAACATCCTTGTATTTAAATCTGAAAGCCAATACAGTATAGTGATTAAGAGAGCATGGGTTTTGGAGGAAGACTGCCTGGGTTTTTGAAGCCTTCTTTGCTACTTGTTAACTGCGTGGCTTGGGGCATGTCAGACAGCTTTTCTGACTCAGGTTTTTTATCAGTAAAATGGGTGTGATAATATTCTTTCTTCCAAGAGTATCATGAAGACCAAATGTGATTGTAAATATTAGCACAGCAGTGCCTGACCTGTAGGAATAGCTCAATCACTGTTAGTTCTTTCATAATCTCTGATTCTTAAGAAAATTCTTAGAGCTAAAATATTTTAAATAGCTAGCTCAAAAACTTTAAATATTTTTAATGCTTGTTACGTATATTGCCAAATGCATTTCAGCCTTTCAGAGAGGTTGGAGAAATTTGGAGCAAGACTGCAAAATTAGTTAGCTATTAGTTAACTTATAACAATCATTATTAATTGTCAAATGGCTAAAGACGGTATCTGATAGCTTTAATTTTTTTGACTAATGCATATTTTTCATATGTTTATTGGCAATTTGTTTTTCATGAATTATCTGTTTATTTCTACTGCTTATTTAAAATGCTTTCTTTGTAGGAACACTTTATAGAGTAAGAATAGTAATCTTTTCACTGCTATGTATAGTGCAATTATTACTAGTTATTTACTTTTAAATTTTATGTTAATTTTCTTTGGTACAGAATTTATAACTGTTCATGGTGTCAAATCTATCAATATTTTATTTGCCTTATGTGCTTAGATAGATTTCCCAGCTCCATTTGGATTGACGTATATGTTTCCGTTAAGTTTTTGTATGGTTAATTTTTTACATTGAAGTCTTTAATCCATATAGAATTTATTTTAGACCATAGTCTTAAAAATCATTTTAAAAATTGGTTTTTTACTCCAACTTAATTTTTCTCAAATACTTGATTGTTCAAGCAAGATTAATACCATATCTGATGGTTTTGAAGTCCAGTTTGCTATATACTAAATTTTTGTGTTATATGTTTCTGAGTTTAACACACTACTATATTATTCTTGTCCATAGTCTATCTAATGATGTAAATACCCATACTGGGCCCCCATTACTATTAACTCAGTGTTTTGACTTTATTTTGTTTCTTTTTAAAATATAATAAAATCTCTATAGTATAATTCTATTTCTGGTGGTGAGAATTACATTGTTCTTTAAACAAACAATAGGTTTTCATTTTACCTGTATCTCTCCTAATTTGAGAATTCTGTACTAGAATATGAAACACATGTACACACGGTAAATCGGTTGCTGTCAAACAGATTTATTGAAGACAATCAGCAAAGGTAAAACAGACCCATCTAAAACGTCTGTGTCAGAAAACAATGAAGATTTAGTCCTTCAGTTGCTAACCAAGAGCATAACAAGAGTGCGATATTCGATATTTAAGATCTGGAAAAAATTGACAAAAATTCAGGAAATAAATTTTAACAGAAAGAAAATTAAATTGATTTATATGTTTACACAACATTTTTCTGAAAAAGGTACATATTTGTAACATATCATTTTGCCCTAGTTTGCATCCAACATGACTTAAGAACCCAATCATATTTCTTATGTTTCTTACACGTGAGTATAAAAACATTACCGAATAGTCTTAATTCTTATATAAGTGAGAGTTGAAACTATATTTTTAATAGAAGAGAATCACTGGTAAAGTACTAATGAAAAATTATTTAGAAGAAGCATCTCTTAATACTAAAGTAATTTTTTGAGATATGTTAATTTGATTCTCTTCATGTCCTTGATTGTCATTAAAATATAATATTGAGAATTAACTAAAATGATGTACATCATTAATTGTAGCAGGAAGTGAGTTTCCTCATTGCTCTCTCTTCATACCCCTGAAGGCTGGTATAGAAAATTTTACATTAAGGTAGGTAATTGTTGGATAACTCAAACTTTATGATGCTAGAGGAACTCTTATACTGCTAGTTTTTTAAAGTTTCTGTGAATATAGTTTGCTGCATAACTTTTAGTTCTAAGCATCTGCATTTTCTAAGTCTAATACTTGCCTTAAATGTCCATATTCTTTCAGTTTTTAAGATTTTTGCTTGCTGAAAAAACTTTAGATGTTAAGACTAGCTGTCTAGGCTATCACACAATTCTACGTGGCACCCCTTTTGCTGCTTTCAAATCATGAACTCATCTGGATCTTCTTTCAGTAGTTTAAAGATACCCGTTTCAGGTGTAGGGGTGTCTTCCTTGTCATTTGTGGTATCTGCTACAGATGACTCGGTGACATTAGTTTCAGGGTTTGTTCTGTTATTTTCAGGCAGATCTTCTGTCGTCGTGGTAGGCGATTCTTCCTCGAGGTTTGATGTCGGGACAATGAAGTCATATCTGGATTCGACAGCAGTAAGCAAAACAGAATGGCTCTCTGCTTCGTTTGCATTCTCTCTCTCCATCCAAACATTGGCCTCGTCGGTTGATTCTTCATCGGTTAGTGGAGTTTCTTCTGGGTTATCTTTGTCTTTTTCAGGAGAGGTATTGAGCTCAAACACAGTGATGAACTTTTCCTCCTCGGAATCAGTTGATTTAGCCACACCATCAGCGGTGTCATCCTCTGAAACAATCAGGTCAATCTCAGTTACTTTCTCTTCTGTAAGCTCAGTTATGTCTGGAATAGTGGTGAAGTTTTTATCAGTAGGGGGAGACATTTCAGCCTCGGGGACAAAGGAGTCGGTGACCGGGGCAGCCTCATCAGCAGGAACATCAGATTTGATGGGGGAATTATAATTGTTAGCATCAGCTTTACCTTTTTTCGCTGGAAAGGCAAGGCTGTCACCAGCCACGGCAGTGCTGTCTGTTAGTGTGCCAGAGACATCAGAAGTTACAGAGATCTCTTCATCCTCTCTCTCAATGGTAGCCAGGACGATTTCTTTGTCTATGTCAGTGGAAAAGTCTATTAAAGAAACAGTACCCACTGGTGATGAAATATTGCCAATTTTCACTGGAATGAGATTTTCAGTAATAGAGTCGTTCGCTATAGAGTTTGTAGTGCCAGTCAGAGTGGGGATTCCTTTCTCCGGATGAGTTGTTGGCTTAATAAAATGGGCTCCAGTATCATCTTCTGATTTGAGTTTTTCCTTTGTTGGTATAAGTTTGTTGCCTGTAGTTGTTGAAAAATCATTTTCTAGCATATACTCATTTACAGAAGTAACATGGTCTCCTTCCGAAGTAATAGTTGTTTCTGATTTAGGAATCGTATTGTCAGCCCCAAAGAAAATGGTTGCTTCAGTCGGTGTTTTGCTGATCTCTGTTGGCGGATGGGAATAAATTTTAGGCAAACCATCTTCAGCCATGGGGTGAAATGGCACTGTGGACTCTCGCAGGTCTTCCTCCTGGGCTCAGTGGTTTCCCTGGGCAGGAGGGTGGTGTTCATCATAGTGATTACAGCATGGGTCATCACGGTGATTGTTGCATCAACCACAGGGCCAACAGCACTGGCTCTCCTTGGAGTTTGTTTCTCTGCTGTGATTGGTCATCCAGTTGCCAGAATATTGGTGATAGACGAAAAGACAATGGAGTCCGTTCTGATTATGAAATCAAAATTTACAGCCCAAGATTTCAATTGCAGGAAACTTAAGATTTACCATATTGCTGTTTACAAGGGACATGCCTTCTGATATGGAGCTTGTGTCACTTAAAACAGATACAGCAGAGTCTGCTAGGTGCTTTGCCAGTTTAGTATCAGGAGGGAGAACTCTGGAAACCATGAGATTATCAGTATCAGCTTGAAGTCACCTGTCTTCTGAGTAAGTAACAGTATATTTTTAAAGATGAAGCCATCTTCCTTTGAGATTCATGTATTTATGTTTAAAAAAAATTAACAGAATTTTTGGAAGTAGGTGCAGCTGCAGAAAGTAATTAGGAAGCAGGGACATCAATTAGTTCTCTTCTTTAGAAAGGGAAATCTCACTTTTTTAGTGGAAATAATAACAAATAGTTACTGACCTATTAGGGTCTTTGCTGTTTTCTCCTTCATTGTAATTCTTACTTTTTCTTGAATGAATTTGAGTAACAGTGAGAATGTCAAGTTTTGTAGGTTAAATTTTTTTTTTTTTTTTTTTAGGAATGCTTTCTGGCAGAGAGTGTTGCTATTTTAACCCCAAAAGACATTTCTGGCAGAGAGTTGGTGTTACGTGTCAAGATTTACCCAGAAACAAGAATCAAGATGTGGAATAAGTATATTAGTTTTAAGAATTACATTCTCAATTTCAGAGGCAGTATTTCTTATGGTGTTATTAAATATATCAGACATCATCATTGTATTATCAACTTTAAGGTTTAGCTCATTACATGAAAGGAGGATTTTAGTTCAGTGTTAATGCTTTAGAACCAGTCTTTTCCCAATGTTTTAGAAGAAATGGAATTTTCAGACTCAGAAACAACCAAATCCGGGAAAGGGTAGCAGCATCAGCCAGAGTACTGGTTTCCATCTCAAGGGCAAATGCTTATTCTTCACTAATAGAGACTCAATTCCAAAGTTTTCAGCTTCCTCTGTTAGTTGATTGGCCTGGTGTAGCTATATCACCATTCTCCATAGAGATATCAGAATAAATTTTAAGATGGCCATTTTTCATTGATAAGATATGGGCAGCTTCTCCAGAAATGACTTAGCTTCAGGGGAATGTCACAGTTGAAGGCTCCAATGTCTTCATGGCTCCAATGAAGGTTCCAATGTCTTCCCTTCATATCAGGGAGTGCTATCAGCATCAGGGACAGGGAAGGAAGTCTTGAGATAGTAACAGGGACAGGTTCTTTGTTTTTAAGTAGAAATACTGTCAGCTCCTAGAGCAGTAAAGGAAGTCACAGGGTACAGTCATTCTCTGAGTTGGCTAATTTAGTGGGAAGATTTTTTAACTTATATTTTTTCCCCATCATCTAGTGCTTGTGAAGCTTAATTCAGGAGAAGGCATGCTATAAACAGAAGACTTGATGTCCTTTTTGGGGAAATTTCTTTGATTACAAAAGGGAAATAAAAGATGGGGAGGTTAGCTGTATAACTGCTGGAAGTTATCGGGTAAAACCAGGTATTATGTTGAATAGAGTTGGAATAAGGAGCAAAATATTCACTCTTATGAGCATTTAATCTTTGGTTAGATATGTCAGATGAAATAATTACATCATCTTCTTCCATACTAATTTGTCAAAGAGTCTTTAATTTCAGAGATTAGTTCTGTGGTCACACCAACTCTGCTTCCGCTAGTATAGCTGTGAGGTGGAATCTTATTGATTGTAGTATAATTATCTCTCTCCTAAGGGGAATGTTACTACCATTATCTGTGTTTTCTAAACCATTGACCTTAAAAAGAACATTTCAGGCTGAATGCGTGTCATTCATCAAAGAGCAGAAAACATATGTTGAAAATCCTGGTGGTACTGCAGAAACTTTAGTGGTCTTGAGGATGAAACTGGAGTCATCTGCTTCAGGGAATATAGCATACTCTTCTTTGACCAATAGATCATTGCCATCAAAGATATTATCTAACTTAAGAACAGAGAGTTGAATTCTATAGATAAATTTTAGTTTACATAAGTAATATTTTCTTCCATTGTTGCATTGTATATTAGACTAACAAGAACATTTCTTTTCTTCCCTCAGAAAGTATTACTATTAAATTTATATCTATTGACATGTGTTTTAGATTATATTACTTATTTTTAAGTGAAAAGGTAGAAATTACTAATAAGTAGGAGATTTCTCAATAAAATCCCAGGAAGATCATTTGGCACATTTATGATTTTCAGTGATACTTGACTAGGAAAAGAGTCCTCAGAAACAGACTTTGAAAATGCTGGAATCACAGTGATATCCACCATTGGGACTTTCTTTGTATGGAGAACATCTTGAGATTCATCAGAGAAATATCATGTGCAATTTTAAAAGACTCAACTATTAGAAAAGTGGTGACTCCTCTGGACACTAGAATTCCTGTTTCAGAAAGAGCCTATGTATAATCTTCAGATTTTATAATTTTTTTATTGGAGACTAAATAGAGTTATTAACCTAATTGAGGTGAGTATAATCATGGAGTCACTGAGGAAGTCTCAGTGTCAATATCTTCATTCACAAAGTAACTCCTGTCTTCAGAAATAGTGAGGGAAGTAAGAGGCACAATCACATTTTGAGATTTGAGTATGTCAACATCCACATTTTTGTCCTCTTCCCCTCCAGTGATTGGAAGGTTGGATTCATGACTAAGGAGATTGTAATTGAAGGACTTGTTGGCCTGTGTGGCTGCTCTTTCTTTGTTTCCAAGAAGATGGCATTTACAGCAGGGTTAGGCATGGCCTCATGTCTGCTTTAGGATCCTTGGGGATATCGTGCGGAATAACTGCTGTTTTTGTGACTGAGAAATATCCCTAAAGAAAGTATTTTCTTCAACCTCCTTTTTAGTTTGTGGTACAATAGGCGTTTTGTGAAATGTAGGTAATCATTTTTTTATCTCAATAGTGGATTGACTAGTAACATAGCTCTTTCTGAAGCTTGAAATCCAGTATTTGCTGCTCTGAGATTGGCTATGTTAGATTCCAATGGAGAATTTCCTTCCACTAGAGAAATGGTCTCTGTGTAAGGTGAAGATTTTTCATCAGTAGGAATAATGGCAGTAACTTCTATGAGCAAAGTTGAGTCTCTAGCCATAGAGTTTGTTTCATGAGAAACAGATCTAGCTGGGAGGGAATCCTTGGGTATGGGAAAGCTTGAATAAGCTGTGCTATAGGGACACTGCCGTAAACCCTATTTACTGATTTATGTGACATAAGTGATGAGATTTTTATTCAGAAGACAGGAGTCAGCATGATGTATAGAGTTCATTTCCATCTGGATAACTGGATCATTTCCTGTTATTACATTGACGTCTGTAAGGTGATTCATTTCAAGTTCAATAGCTGGTTTTTCATTGAAGAAGCTTTCGGTATTTCTTTTATAATAGAAATTTAGATCACTATATTCATTAGGAAAAAAAGTAGAAGACTTGGTAATTGTTTTCTTAGTTTCTGAATTTTAATTGCTAGAGGCACCAATATAAAAAATTTTGTCCCAGGTAACAGAAGCAGTAGATGTGTTATGTTTGACATCTGCAATATTGTCTGAAGAGCGAGTGGAATCAGTTTGGAGAACAAAATGGACCAGGGGTAGAGCCTTTGAGATAGTTTGACTTTTAGTATTTTGTCTTCCTGAGATAACACCTTCATTAAAGTAAGCTGAATTGGTTGGCACAAGTTTGGATGCTACTGATATTAACATTGTTGGGTGATATAGGTTTTTACCTTTTACAAGTCTAGGGGCTATGATTTCTTTAGCAGGAGCATTATTAGTGAAGGTGTTAGTTTCAGGTAGTCCCACAGATGTAAGTCTTAGAGACATGATGCTCTCTTATGATAAGCCAGTGTTATTTTTGTCTTCAGTAGAGATAGCGGGAGCATTTGGTCTAATCTCAGACATCTTTCTCAAAGGAGAAAAGGAAGTTGAGAGCTGTGTTGGTTGCAGCTTCTGTGTTTTCATCATGTTGGAAATGTCATCACTAGAAAGTGAGCTAAAGGAGAATTACTAAATATTGAACCAGACACCACAGCTATACCTGTTTCATCTTCAGCAAAATCATGTGGGTAGTGTCTGTTCCTCTGGGGGTAAATGTTTTGTAAGTGGTGGGTGATTTATTTTTCCTGAGCAAGTTATACCTATTTTTGATAACATGACTAGTAGGATCTGTTGTGAATGTCCTACTGCCAACTATGGGTTTTATGTCTGAAAGAATGGGATACTCAACTATTCTATTTCCAAAGTCAGAGCTTTAAGAGAGAATTATGACTTCATCATTACCATTTATGGTGCCTCTTCTCACATGTGTTTTGTCAGGAAAACGAGAAGGAAAATGCTCACTTGCATCAATTAGGAAGTAAGTTGTGGGCCTGTGAGCTTCGGCCTTGACATTGGCAGTGAGGTCTTTGAAAGGAATAGCATCAATATCAATATTCTTGTTTTCCTGTCTAGGAATTATAGCTTGGTTATTTTTGTTAGCATTGAACTCTGAGGGTATTGCTTTAGATAGACTATCTGAAGCAACAACCGTGGTATATAGTGCATGAGACCCACGTGTCTTGGGGGCATATCTGAGTGTACTCATTTTTATAAAAGGATTATTTGCTTTATCCTCTAATTCAAAGACATATTTATCTGAGCTATATTCAGAACCACCATCATCAAACATAATTATTTGGTCCACATATCCTGGAATGATTTTGCCTGCAGAAGAAATGTCATCCATCTTTTCTGAAATATCACCTGTAAAATAACTTTTTTTATACTCAGCAGCTGTCTCTCTCTCTCTCAAATCTTTGTGCCCAAATGTATTCCCTTTTTTGGAGGTAATAAAAATAGGCAAAA